AGATGTCTGCTGATACCTCAGCAGGACCGGGAGCAGAAGGCTGGAAGCAGGGCCACGCTGTAATCCCTCCCTCCCCAGAGACCTACTTTCCCAGACTGATCCCACCAGCTAAAGGGACTAAATGTTTAAAACACCAAGCCCCTGGGGGACATTTCACTTTCAAACATCTCTGTCATTTATAAACCTCTCAGTGCTGTGGAGCTGGTCCCCCAGATCCCTCCATGTGAGTCTCAGGAACTCAGGTCCACCCAAGCACAGCGGTCTCTCATCTTTTTATGCTTGTTTTACATGTGGTGGCATCCTAATTTTCATCCTGATGAGTTTTGCTGAGGATTGATGGGCTGTATTAGCTTCTCTTGTAAATCATCCCTTGGCCTCGTGGCCCCCTTTGTTGTGTTTAGTTTCTTCCCCCCTTGGTCGCACGTTTATCATCGTTGCTCTTTTCCTTCTGTTTTGTGTTTCTCTTACTCTTCTATTTTTAATCTGTGGGAGGTGTGGCTCACTCACTAGCCTTCAGCTAGCTGAGCTCCAGCATCAATTTGGATGCAGTTGCTGATCATGAGCTGTCTGTTTCTTAGTCATTCAACTCTTTTCCCTTCCCTCCAATCCCCTCCCCTCCAATCCCCTCCTGTCCCTTCCCCTTCCCTCCCCTCCCCTCCCCTCCTGTCCCTTTCCCTTCTCTTCTCTCCAATCCCCTCTTGTCCCTTCCCCTCCCCTCCCTTTCCCTCCCCTCCCCTTCCCTTCTCTCCCCTCTGTTCCCCCTCCTTTTCTTCCTCCATTCCCCTCTCCTCTTCTCTTCGCTGGTTCATCAATACAAGCTCTGGTTGGTTGGCTGGTTTGGGTTAGTGACCACGGTATGCTTTCCTGTCCTTTCACTTTGATTCTCCCCTATATACTCATGCTGTGAATATCTTTATGAATACCTGGGTTTTTTTTTTATTTCAGCAGCATTCTCATTTATTTATTTTCCATGCATGCACACACGTGCATGTATGTATATGTCACAGTACACATGTGGAGACATTGTGCTTTTGTTAGAGCTTTTCATTCACAAGTGTATAATGGGGTCATTGTGGGGCTTGGGTTTAAATGTTTTAACTGTGTGTTCTTGTACTCTCTGTTGTGTTTTCAAATATGTAGCTATGTAGACCAGGCTGGACTGTAACTAGGTACCAGGCTGTCCTCAAACTCACAGAGATCCTCCTGCCTCTAAGGCCTGATCTACTCCTCCTCTCATAACCATTCCCACTTCCCTCCTGCCTTCCCACCGATACCTGGCAATCATTAATATATTAGCCATATCTTTGATAAACTTTAAGCATGTTGTAGAAATGGAACCATCCAGTATATAACCTCTACATAATATACAGTATATTACAGTATATAACTTCTATATAATAAACAGTCTATTACAGTATATAACGTCTATATAATATACAATATATTACAGTATTATAACTTCTATATAATATGCAGTCTATTACAGTATATAACTTTTATATAATATAGTTTATTACAGTATATAACATCTATATATTATATTGTATATTACAGTATATAACTTCTATATGATATACAGTATATTACAGTATATAACTTCTATATAATATAGTTTATTATAGCATATAACTTCTATATAATCTATAGTATAATATACTATATAACTTCTATATAATCTACAGTATATTACAGTATATAACTTCTATATATATGCAGTATATTATAGTAAATAACTTCTATATAATATACAGTTTATTACAATATATATGTAGTATATTGTAATATATAACTTTTCCCCCTCTGAACACTAATTTTCACATTTCTGTATATATCAGTAGTTCGCTTTTATTGCTATCTGGTATTCCATAGGATGGATGTACCACAGTTTCTTGATGCTCTCACGAGCAGACCTGTCCTGAGCAGTGCAGGCTTTTACGTGGATTTTAGTTTTGAATCATCTGGAACAGATGCCTGGAGTGTGACTTCTGGGTTACGTACTAGTCTCATGTTCAGTTTTAAAAGATTGATCTCTTATTTTTAATTATGTGTGTGTGTGTGTGTGTGTGTGTCTTACTATGTGCACTAAAGTGCAGTGTCTGTGGAGGCCAGAAGAGGGCATCATATCCCCTGGAGCTGGATTTACATGAGCTGCCATGTGGCTGCTGGTAATTCAGGTCTTCTGGAAGAGCAGTCAGTGCTCTTAACTGAGCACCCTCCCCCACCCCACTTAAAAAGAAACTGACCAATTATTCCCAGAGTGGCTGTTTGACACCCCCCTGTGACGTGGATGTCACCCCCTTCTCCACGTGCCCACCAGCGTTTGCTGTAGTTCCTGATTTTGCTGTTCTGTCTGTTTCGTGATGTTGCACTGCAGTTTCAGTTTGGATTTCTCTGTCACGAGGTCTTACACTTCCTTGTTTCTTTCTGTATTTAACACAAGGTGTGCTATTTTCATACGGTTGCTGTGATAAACACCATGACCAAAAGCAACGTGGGGAGGGAGGTTTCTTCTTTTGTTTTGTTTTGTTCCCCTCCCCCTCTTACAATTCTAGGTCACAGTCCATCGGTGAGGGAAGTCAGGACAGGAACTCAAGGCAGGAACCTGGAGCAGAAACCACGGAGGAACACTGCTTATTGTCTTGCTCTCTGGTTCATGTTCAGCTACATTTCTTATACAACCAAGACCACCTGCTCAGGGATGATATCATCCACAGTGGGCTGGGCCCTCCTACATTAAACATCAGTCCAGGCAATCCCCATAGACATACCCACGGGCCAGGCTGATGGAGGCAATTCTTCCATTGATCCCTCTCCCCAGGTGTGTCAACTTGACAACCAAGATTAGCCTCACAAAGGTTTCAGAGCCTCACCTGGGCTCTGAAAGTGGAAATGAAGCAAGATTCAGGCAAATGAGAAGACATCCCATGTTCATGGATTGGAAGATGTGGTGGTGTTCAGATGGCCATGTTCTCCAGGCTGATCTGAAGGCACAGTACCCAAATGACTTCACTGAGTAGATCATGTGGCAGATCCTAAAGTTCACATGTTCCAAAATGAGCCAGAACAGCCCAGACAGAATGGAAGAGAACAGAGAGGACTCAGATGTCTACCGAGCCATGCTAGTCAGGACAATGTGTTCTTGGCATTAGAAGATTATTAATCACTGCGATAGAATTTGGAGTTCAGAAATAAACCTCACATTTATAATGATTTTTGACACAGGATGATTTCTCACGGTACTGGGACTACTGGATATTCACATGCAAAAGAAGGAAGTTGGACCTAAACTTCACCACATGCAAAATTAATTCAGGGTGGACCAAAGACATACATGAAGAGGCTAAGTTGTCAGGCTGAGAGAAATCTTCACGGACTTAGATTAAGGTGTTTTGTTTTTTTTCAAGTCTAAAAGCACAGCCAATAAAATAAAAATAGGTTACTTGCCCTCTATCAGAATCATTTGCCTTCTGTGCTCTCTTTAGTGAATGTCTCTTCATGTCCAGTTTGATTTTTTTTCCTAACCATTTTCTCATCTCTTCTTCCCTTTTTTCTCTCTCGCTCCCTCTTCTCTGAGATAGGGTCGAACAAGTCTCAGGCTGACCTCCAGCTTGCTGTGTCACTGAGGATGATTTTGAACGTCTCATTCTCCTGCCTCTGCTTCCCAAACTCTGAGATTACAAGCCATGCTTCACCACGCCCAATTCATGTGGTGCTGAGGAATTGCACAGGGTTTTGTGCATGCTAGACGAGCATTCTACAAACTGAGATACACCCCCAGCCCCTAATGTGATGCTTTCTTGTTTAGTTTGGAGTTTCCTTTATGTGTTTTGGCCCACTGGTTATTTGTTGCCTATGTGTCTGCAAACGTTTTCCTCTCATCTATATAGGGCTTGTTTTTTTTCTTCTTTTTAATGAGACCCTTCACAGAGCAGAGCTTTGGGGAGGAAGAATTGACTTTTTTTTTTTTTTCATCATGCTGGGTCTTTCAATCCACGATCAAGGTATGTTTCTCTTTGGCTTAGAATTTCTTTGATTTCTTTTGGTGGTTTTGTTTGTTTGTTTGGTTTTGGGTATTTAAATCATGCATGTTATTTTTATATCTGCATCTAAGTAATTAATTTATGGGGGGGGGGCTTCTGGCTGTTATAGCATTTTAAACATTCCTGTTCTTATGTTTGGTATCAGTAGGTAAAAGTCAATTCATTAATGACCTCTCATCCAGTGTTCTGCAGCGTTTTGAACTCATGCTTCTGAATCTCTGTAAATTCCTTGGAATTTTCTCTATCATGTGCAAGGAGGGATTTTTTTTTCTTCCTTTGCTACCTTCTCACCCTGGCTTCCAGCACCCAGCACTACCCTGAGCAATGGATGGGTGCAGGCATTTTGCCTTGTTTCTGGAGTCATTTGCTTTTGAATTTTGAGCAACCGTCTTTTTGTTTGTTTGGTTGGTTGGCTTGGTTTGGTTTGGTTTCAGGTTCATAACACCACCAGCTGTCCCCCACTCCAATGCACACACTTAGTGTCCCCGATTCCAAAATTCCACTAGAGTCATGTTCACGCCATGGTCAGTGACCTGTGTTCAGGAGTCATCATCACTAGGCTTCTGGGTTTTGTAGAGGGTGGGTGCACTCCCAGCTCCATAACCTGTGGGTTTTGACACAGGTATAGTGATAGGGACCCAACCTTATGGCACCATACGGGCTACTCCAGCTGAGTATTTAGAGCAGCAGCTCAGTCATACCCAGGCTCCCAAACCTTCCGCTGTCTTCATCCTCATCCTGTGACCCAGGCTGCACCCACTCAGAATAGGATCTGCCTGGCTCTGTTTTCTGTTCTTGACCTCAAACAAACCTTGAGGTCTTCAGGATGGACCCCACCCTCTACCCCTCAGCTGAGCCCCCAGACTCTGGTCCTCTTCCCTCCTCAGCCCACAGTGACAAGTTCCACGGCTCAGGTTCCCAGCCTGTGTTTGAAACATCAAAACAGACTTCAATCAGGAGAACAGTTAACTTTTCTCCTTTATTAAAACTAAGGACGTCATTATAAAAACCACTATATAGAAAGACAAACGCAGCGAGACACCGTCAGTGTAAAACACATCATTATTACATCGGATTCAGGAGGGGGAAGATGGTCTGACATCAGTATTTTTGTTTTTGGTTTTCCCAGTCTGAAAGAGACCCCCACGCCCTCTCAATATGAGCCTGGCTCTTCTAACATAGAGATACCTTCCTGTCTCACACTGCCTACCTGCTTCGCCCCACTGACCTGGGGAGAAACAAGTCCTTTGTAGGAAGGTCCCTTGCCCCTCTAGGGTGGCCAGGCTCTCACCCTACAGCTTTGTTGGTTATGGCACGTTGCCCATATGCTCACCCGTGGATATTAGATGGGGACATTACTGCCTAGCTTGAACACAGGCAGTGAGGAGAAATGGGAAGGGACCGGGTATGAGAAACTGTGAGACGCAAGCCTAAGAGCTCACCTTAGTCAAGTACCAGCTGTGACCAAATGGGAGGCCACGGTGGCCCTGTGACTCCAGTGGCTGGTCCTATGCTTAAGGTTGACACTGACCGCAAGGGGACTCTATGCTTTGGAGGGTAGTTTTAGTTTGTCAAGGGTAAATGGGTCAGGGCTTTGACATAGATAGGAAGGAGTGTTAGCCACTAATGGTGAAATCCACCCACTCACTACGCATTTCTAGCACCGACTACCTGGCAGGAATTTGGACTGGAAACAGGGTGGGGTGGGACAGGTAATGCCACCTCCAAGGTCACTTTTGTGGGAGGGATAGATAAATGTTCTGTGTTTATTTTGCGGATGGGAGTGTTTCCGTTAGGCACGGCGAGTCAGGTCCGCAGTGGTGGGCGCTGCCTCTCACTGGGCTACTGCATGTTCTCTGATGTGACCCATCTGTCTATGCAGGAGGGGCTTCTAGTGGACGCTGGCAACAGAGCAAGGGGGCAGGGGCTACTCAACAAGTGTCTGCTCGACAGCTGAGGATTTGTGCAGCGTGTGGGTGGTACACGTCCCTGCGCTGATGGCCTCAGCTGCTAATCTTTCCAACCACAGCCTGTGAAGTGCAGGTACATTGTTGAGGCTACCGAAGGGGTAGGAAACCGTGGGGACACCCGACACACGGTAGGCATGAGGGTTCATTTTCTTTCCTTTTTTTTTTTTTTTTTTTTTTTTTTTTGAGACAGGGTTTCTCCGTGTCATTTTGAAGCCTGTCCTGGATCTCGCTCTGTAGACCAGGCTGGCCTCCAACTCACAGAGATCCACCTGGCTCTGCCTCCCGAGTGCTGGGATTAAAGGCGTGTGCCACCACTGCCCGGCTGAGGGCTCATTTTCTACGGGGCAGAGGACACCACCTTTGACCTGTGACATCATCTCCTCATAGTCCTCTGACAAGACAGACACTGGCACACACGTGGTGAGCTGTGTGACTCAGCCCAAGGCCGCCACTAACCCAGCAGAGCTCCCTGGCAGACAGTGTGCTCCCTCCCTGCCCTTCACACACGCAGGAAATGCCCAGGAGGCCACTCAGATAGTCACCTGTGCCCAAATGCCAGGGGAACCTCGTGTTTACCTCCCAAGCAATTCCTGTTAGTGGGAACCAAACAGCCAGAAGAAAAACTAAAACAAGCCAATAAGAAATGTCTGGAAGCCTGAGGCTCTGGATCCTCTCACACCCTCTTGCAGGGCTGGGGACCAGCTGCGAGGAGCAGTCCAGGGGACTGTGGCTGGAATGAAAAGTGGGACTTGCCCCACTGGTTGGGACAGGGGTGGGGCTGGTGACAATCAACCCAGGACACAGCCGCATCATGTCCTGCTGTTTGCACGGACCTGGCTGGGGGGGGGGGGCGCACTAGACAGGATGAGGGAGGACCAGCTCTTGACTGAAGACATCCTCAAGCATCACCCCTGGCTTGTTTTCCTGTTATCCCAAATCCTTTCCACTTTGGAGCTAAAGTTGCCTGACGGGGTTTTCGGATGACCCAGGAAGTGGTCCTGCCCCAGGAGCACAGCTGTATACACCACTGTTGTCTGCAGTATCTGAGACTGCGAGGGACCAGATCAGAATCATGTGTGTGCATGTATGTGTGAGTTCACGTGTAGGTGCATGCATATACATGTGAGTGTATTTGTGGACATATGTAAACATGGACATGTGGCATACATGGGTATGCATGCATACATGGGGGTCTATATCTGTTCTCATATATATATGTGTGTGTGTGTGTGTGTGTGTGTGTGTGTGCATGTATGTGTTCATAGGTGTTTATTACTGAACCTGTGAACATGTGTAAATTACATTTGTAGGTGTATGTATACATGTGCACACATGGAGGTGTACATATTCATATACACGTGAACATGCATGTGGATGTGTGGACACACGAATGCGTACAAGTTATATTCATGTGTGTGGGTGAATGTATACATATGTGTGCATACATGTGTGTGCTCATGGGTATGCCTGTTTGTGTGTGTGTGTGTGTGTGTGTGTGTGTGTGTGTATGTGTGTGTGCATGTGCTCCTGTTTGGATTAAGGCCCGTTGCACACTGGTGAAAGTCACCATCAGATGCTTGGCCACTCCCACACGGGGTGAGCAAGCCATCTCCTTGGTGACTACAGCCAGCCAGGGAGGAGTTCTGAATGGAGGTCCCAGATCATTCAGACGACAGGGCATAACACTGCTCACAAAGGACACACAGTTCCCAGTGGGAAATGCCAGACAGATACAAGGGCGTCTCATGACTCTCCTTGGGCACACGGTGTCACCGGCTTCTCTGCTTCCTGTGGCTACTTGTTGTTACAGGAGTGTACTGTGGCCTGAGACTCACAGAAAAAAAAAGGGGGTGTCAACACAGGCATCTGGAGGAGGCAGCCGTGGGAACCGAGGCAGCCACGACCGCTCAATAAATATTCAGGGACTTGTCTCTACCCTGTGTCTTTTCAGGACATGCTACTAACTGGCACATCTGCCAGCCACAGACACCATGAGCTGGGAACAGATTTTCATCACGGCCACCTGAGGTCGTGCATCCCACCCAGTCCTCACACCCACACGGACACAGCTCTTGCCTTCCGTAGCTCTATGAAGCGGCATGGCGTAAGACCCTGACCTTTAACCCTGGCTTGCCAAATGAGGGAAGGAGGCTCGGAGAGGTTGGGGGTGTGAGCCGGTGTCACCCAGCTGGGAAGGAGCAGGGTTACCAGGGCCTGGAAAGTCAAATTCTATGCTGACCTCCGGCCATGGGGGCACTCCTGTGTCCTGGCCAGTGTCTAGACCCTTAGCCTCAGATATATATACGAGAGATGCAGTCTCTCATAGATGAGAGATGCAGGTCCTCAACCAGAATCTTCATGGGGGCCTTCAGCTATTCCCTAGGAGACCTCTTCTGGAGAACCCCACCCCCACCCTGTACCCTGCTGTCTGTATGGCCATGGCCTCCTGTGTCTGAGGAAGGAGGCTTCACAGAGGAAGTAGCCCTGAGCAGGAGGCAGCTGCAAGAGGGTTACCCAGAGCCACCCAAAGCCAGAAGTCCCCTCAACACCTGATCTGACTCCTTCCTCTCACTACTGGGGAAACTGAGGCAGGAGGGCCCCGGGTCTTGCCTGTGATCTCTTTCCTCAGGTGACATCAGAATCTGTGCAGCTTGGGGCAAGGATGCCTTTTCCTGTAGAGGCTCTGCATAGGTGTGGGCTGATCCAGCCCGTCTATTGCTAAAACCCTCCAGATGTCTATTGCTAAAACCAGATGTCTATTGCTAAAACCCTCGGATGCTGCAGCATGCGGGAGAGGGCCCATGCCCATCTTTAATCAAGATCCAAGCATAGGCTTTCCAGGCTGGGGGGGGGGCGGGGGCACGGCAGTGCATCTAAGAGCAACCGACTGGGTGCAGAGACAGAGGCCTTTGACCCAGTAGGGCCTCTAGAGCCAGCTAGAGTGACAGCTTCCATGTCCACCAATGGGACCATCTCTCCCTCATGTGGGGCTGAGAGGATGAAGAGCCAGCCAGAGTGGGAAGAGTTTTATGTTCTATCACACAGTACTATGGATAGAGAAGCATTGTGCGTGCGTGTGTGCGTGTGTGTGCGTGTGTGTGTGTGTGTGTGTGTGTGTGTGTGTGTGTGTGCATGTGTGTGTGTACACCATTGTGGGGACTACAGAGATCTGCAAGAGGAACTGTCCCTTCACCTCTGTTGCGCTTTGAGGCCTGGCCACCCTAGCTTGTTTGCTTCTAGGAACCCAACGGGATTGTGGCTCTTGTGGCCTTTGGCTCTTCCTCTCTAGGTCCCATTGCTGGTCTTGCGTGTGGTTTGAACCCAGGCTTAAACACCCCTGACCACCCAAGTCTCCACACACAGCCTCCACAATATGCCTTTGTGACCCCCAAGGGCACCTCCACGCTGGCTCTTCCTTCCTCGCTGCCCCTTGCTCACTCTCCCCCACAGTGTGTGGCAGTTGGGTGGCCATCCCGTGTGGGGTTACCGCCGATCAAGTGAGGATGCAGCTTCAGGAAGAACGGGTCACAGGGAGGGCAGGAACACTTCAGCCTCGCTCATAGGGGTGGGGTGGCCATGTCTACATTGGCAACGTGGCCTCTGGAGATCCACAGGGTTAGTTACTCTGGGGGGATGTCTTTTCTTTTGTGTGCCCTAGGACAGTGGGTCAATGATGATGAGCTCTGTGGGCAGATGTTATAGGTACCCAGGCTTACTTGGAAAACCCCCATTTTAAGTAGACAGATTCATGGAACCCTCTGTTCTGGGTTTCCTTAGGACCCTTCATCCTGTCTATGTGGTTCTTCTCCCAGAGCCTGGCATTCCTTACCCCTGGATCTGATCACTGCCTGGCCTAGTGCACAGCAAGCGTGTGGCTAGTGTGAACCCCTGGGGGAGGCTCAGGCAGTGACGATGGAGGATCTGGGTTGTGGAGATGCTGCACTCACTGTAAAATGTCAGGCGGGTGCTCCAATGACCATATTGGGGACCTGGGCTGTGGAGCCTGTTAACACCGTGGGAATCAAAACCTGGACCTGGGTTCCTGTCACCCTGGGGTCTCCACAACTGTGGAGCGGGCCATGCCCTGACCATATGACTGTGGCACCCTTCTCCAAGCTGTACTGTTCCAGAGGTGTTACACGCCCACCTCCCAGGAACTGTGATGGTGCACCACACAGCACATCCCACTAGGCTGCCCAAAGCCTGCTGAGATATTTCCTCATGCCTGCTGCTATGGGAACAGATTTCACCAGAACCCATCCTCAACTGGTATGCTCCAGTTCCTGCCACCTGTGGCACAGGAAGGCTGGGCCCTGTGCCTGGCCACTCTACCAGCTCACAGTTGCTGGACACAGCAAGAGGTCTGAGCCTCAGACGAGGACACAGGGAAGACTCTTCAGCCACACGGTGACCTGTGCCCATCGGAGAACCTTACAGCCGGTGGCGAGGGGGCTCGATTAAAAACTAGCTGAACGGACACATAGAAAGAACACCCTGACCATACACGTGCGCGCACACACTCACGGTCGATATTCCGACACGGATGGGCCTAAGGGGGCCACTATTGGAGGGAGTGGAGGCAGGAAAAAACGTCAGTGTTTGGACCATGGTACAACTCACGGCCCCAAATCCTTCTGGCTGGGGTCAGCCAGGGCAGCTAAGTGTTGGTCATCTCAGTCCACACCGAGTCTCTTCTCAGAAGCCACCAGCCCAAAAAAAAGAACTATTGCTTGCAGGCAGGTGGCTCAGAGCCCCTTTCCTGCACCCTGTTTGTCCCCGGACCCTGAGTTTGCTCCTGATCTCAGAAGTCCTCGGAAGGGGGTTCTGGGCACAGGTGGTTTTTCCTCTTCTGTTACCACACCGTTGCCCCGGCTCTCCCTGGTGTCTTGGTTGAAGCTGTTCTTGGAGGCTGCACCAGGTGCTCTGGGTCTAACCTCCTCCATCCTGAGGCACAGCAAAAGGGTTTTCTGGGGAGAGTGGAAGAGAGAAGTATTAAGCGTTAGAGTGAGGAGAAGCCAAGAATACATGCATGCCATTTTTGTACTTTAGACACAAGAAATTCTGTGATGCTGTGGTTGCATGGGAGACTAGCGCTCCTGGCCCATGCAATAAGACAAGAAACATGTACAGAGTGCCAGGATTTGAATAAAAAAAACTCAACTCACAATTAACTGTATATAATCTATCTGGAAAATCTAACAGAGCCAGCAGGCTGCTTATCAGAACAAAGATTGCAAAGGTAAATATAATTCTCACTCTTTAAGCCATCAGATCAACTTATAAGACTCAATGGGGTTCATCTCCTACAGCTTGACTATGTATCTTGGCTGGAGACAGATCCAGTGAACATCCGTCATCAAACATAATTATTTTACTTTAATACTGTTAGTTTTTAGCCTTCCACGGTACTCTGATTTGGATGAAAAATGAATACAGCATCCTTTTGTCATGAGCTAACAACTACTCAAAACAGATACAGAAACCATTCATATGAATAACAAAACCCATTATGCCTCTTGGACTCATCCCATTGGACAGGTCTCCATGGCTTTGGACATGATAAAGTCATGAAAAGGAACCCAAGGCATTCCTGGGCCAGGGATGGGCCAGGAGACCAGTGGGTAAGGACAAGGATGTAAGAGAGGCCTGAAGACTGAGGGCCCTGAGTGGCTGAGCCGGGCTACAGGCCGGACAACAGGGAGCAAGGAACAAACCCCATCTATGCCTGCTCCACAGATCACCACGCTAAGAAGAACTACCCAGGGCTGGTGAGCTGACTCAACAGTAAACTTGCTTGCCGCCAAACCTGGTAACCCACACGGTGAAAGGGGAGAGCTGACTCTTTAAAATCATTCTCTGACCCTCACACAGGCACGGCAGTGTACACACCCACACACAGACATACACGAAATAAAGAGATGAATGTCATTTTGAAGAAATAATAAAACAGCTACCCAGTTACAAATCCCTGTCTTCCCAGAGGCCTTTGCAGACTAGAGTGACCACATGACAGGGTGGCTTGATACAGGGAAGTCAAAGACTACTAGGCTGCAAGAGGGCTAAGGTGACCGGCTATCTCCTTATCCTGTATTTCCAGGGCCTAGAATGGCAACTGGCACCCAGTAGGACTCAATAAATACTTGTTGAATGAATGAATGAATGAATGAATGAATAACAAACCAAGCAATTTAAAGCCTGGGTATGGGAACCATCTTTCCAGTGTAAAGTTAGCAGTAAGAGTTGTTTGAATTCCTATCTCTGTGAGCCTGTCTTAAATAAGTCACCGGAGGCTAGGCTTGGGCCCGTGAGGGGGCACGGAGGAGGTGCTCGCTCTAGGAGTGTGTTTGAAAAAGCCCAAGGGTTCTGACAAGTACAAAAGAGAATGGGAATGAAAACAGAGAAATGGTATAAATAACAGACCGTAGGAGGGACGAGGTGAGGAGGAGGCGGTGTGGATAAACGAGGTCTGACTCATTTAGAGTTGGGGGTTCTGAAGAATTCCTCAGCCGTTAAAGTCAAATCAGAAATGTGAAGGGGGGCCCGGGACAAGAGAACACAGGGATCGGGGAGACAAGGGGAGAGAAAGGCGAAGACACCGAAGACTGACATTGTTCACTGTGGGGAGAAAATAAACGCCGTATCACAAAGTAAACGATTAAGCCTATTGCATCCCATTATAATTATGGAGGTAACCATGGCATCCAAACACAGCTTCCCGAGTGATCAGAAGACATTTACACGGAAAATAAAACAAAGAAAAACCCAGGCCATATGGGGGGAAATTGACAGCCCCCACCAAAGCTATAAACGCAAAAATGTATCATAAACCGGGACGACAGGAATGGGACTGAGTGTGTCTGCGGCAGCAGTAGACATTAATGAGCCATACGAACTTGCTAAAAAAGAAAAGACGCTGAGCGGGGATCGCAGATCCATCCCACTTCGGGCCAAGCGACTCAGAAGAGCCCGCACTCCACACCATTGGAGCCTACGCTACAAAAGGCTCGGGTGATAGGCTCTGTTTCCTGCACCCCACCCCATCTCAAAAGAAAGCGTGGGTGGTGATACATGCAACAGTATACCGGGAGGAACTCCGGGTCACGGCCGGACTATCAGACGCAGCCGAAGTTGGGTCTAGCTGGGACGGAGCGGAGCCCAGTTCAGTGCTTTCCTGAGGCACAGTCCTGGGGTCCGTCCTCAGCGCTGAATCAACTGGTGTGGTGGGAGTTCTAGGTTACCTGGGCTACACAATACCTAAAATGACATGGGGGGCGGAGCAAGAGGCAGAGAGAGTGAGCAAAGCAAGTGCCGTGTGAGAGAATGGTAGAGACAGCTAACCGTGAGGTCCAACACTAGTGAGTCCCTGTGCACAAGACAGCACAGCCTTGGTATTTGCTCCGCAGGAACAGCCAGGGATGCAGGAGAAAAGGAGGCAGAGTGTGCTATCGTTGGTACACCCAGTTCCGCTCTCTCCATGGCAGATGGAGTGGCCAGCATAAGGGAAGCCCCCCCTCCCAACAGATGCACACACACACACACACACAGAGAGAGAGAGAGAGAGAGAGAGAGAGAGAGAGAGAGAGAGAGAGAGAGAGAGTGACAATCAGGCTTAAATTTCAAACAGCAGAAATAAAACATTATCTGGTCATAATATAATTTGAACAAAAAAAACCACAAGTCAGGTGTAAGTGG